TCTGGGGTGATTCAACAGAAATTCACCAAATACGCACGAGCAAGAGTCTCGGTATCTCAAATCTGTACTTCTATCTGAAAGTCCAATAGTCCAAAGGTCCAAAGGTCTAAGAGCTCTAGAGGCCCAATACTTCCAAAATGTTTAAATATGAGTTTATGTTTTACTTTAAATTACGACAAGTATAAAAAAAAATTAAAAACGACAAATTATATACTTCTACTGAGAGGTGCGTCAGTTATAGGCTGTAGCGACACTGCAAACTTTTCTTGTAATTGACGACGGAAGCGGTGACGAAATATTGGATTTATACCCTTGCTGTGCCATGCGTTCTCGATCTAAAATCAGACTTATATATGGACGAATACTGAATTAACCGAGAAACCTTGGTGAAATAAATGAACAACTCGAGTTGAAGCACAAATGATTAAATAAAGTCATAAAGTATTTATTACATTTGGACATCGTGCCCACACGACATGTGTGTACATGACACTATAATAAAACATACGAACAGAATAATATTCATTTTAAATTTGTCATTGTAAAAAATAATAATTCAACTAAATAAATAGCTTCATTCATTTTACGAACTCGAGCCTCTCATGTAAGAAACCGACAAGACGTTAGCGTAACACGTACATAAAGGCAGTTCTGGAATACATCTGAACATGTGTACACAAATTAAACAACGTCTTAGAATACCGTGTAAAATAACGGTACTTGAGTGGCAACGCAACAATAAAACAAATTACAATACACGGCCTAGTTGAGTTGCTCATTTAGGAAGTCGTTGCATGATGGCAAGCTGCTCAGATATACGTCTTCATACCGGCGGGATCTCTAAAAAGCATAGTTCGACTGATCCGTAAATTAGCATTTACCTCAGCAAGATTTTTGATATTTTTTTTGATCATTTTAATTTTTTGTGAAACAGCACACTCTGTTGTTGCTGAGAGAAAACAGTGTTCAAACTTACGGGAGAGGGGGGGGGGTAACCCAAGTTTATATTCACAGACAAGCAAAGATATGCAGTATTTCTGCATCTTTATCGAATGAGCAAATGTGATACATGCAGAATATTCAGCTAACAAATGTATAGATATATGAAAAAGTATGGCATGTTGAAATTAAAGATATGATTAAATCTGAAAGAGGTCTCAGCTCATCCACATAATTAGGTAATCTAGCTGCTGCATGTTTTGAACTGGAAACTATGGGCGTGGTCATGGTTGCTATGGAAATGCTCACTTTATCGTCAGAAAATGTAATTAAAACTTTGAACAAAAGCAATGTCTCACGGTAACTGCAATTAGGTAGTGAATTTTCACGAAAATATATTTTTGATTTTCTAGGGTCTATGTCTACGCAGAAAAACAATGTTTCAGAGTATTGAGAGACGCGTGTACGCCCCCGGTCAGATCTGGATGAGTTAAGAATTTTGCAAATATTGTTTTCACGTTTACATTATATGCAATCGTCGTGTAAATTTTCATTTGTTATATTTTGGCTCTTGAAAATTGTTTTATTTCGAAAATACACCCTCCTCATTTTTAAAAGAGAAACCGAGAGAGTATAGCAATCATCTGCATTTTTTTCTGTGACCACCTGCTCGGAATATGTCGGACACCATCGGTAAATGGCGGAGGAAATTAACAACGACTGCGCAGACGACGTTCGTGACGTCATGGGTCGCCATTTTAGATTTCCGCATGTTGTGAACTCTCGTTCAGGTTTTGACCTGCTTTCTGAAATTTCTGTTTTGTGTCATTGCTTTCTCTTCGTTTCTTCAAATCTGGGTCGGTGCGTGAGTCGCAAAGCGAGGTATGGAACCTATACTCCGTACTGGTTTCAGAAGTGTAGGCCTAGGTCCAAGCACATCGGAGACGCCAAGTACGGAGGAAACGAGGTGGAAACTCAATGTTCGACCGCAACACTAACTTGTTCAACAGTTTTCGCCGACCATTCCATTTTTGTTTCCCCCATTATGGGAGACCCAAATACGAGGAGAAAAGTTCAGCTAAGCAGACTGCGGGGCCAACTAAGAAAGAAACGTGAAGCTTTAGCTGACCAGTTTGATTTTAAGATGTACATAATTTTTACTTTTAAAGACAAGGTAAGCAAAAAATCAAGTCTCGGCAGGCGATGTCGTCACCTGCGCACTTAGCGCAAGATCAAAGGCCATATATTTTTTCGATTTTTTTTTTTACGACCTTCTATATTTTATTTATTATTGTTTTATACTGGTGCCCAACTCTGCTACTTTTACTAACTTTCCACGCACCCTAGGATTATATTTGTTGCTGAATGCCGATTATTCTAAAACTCTGTAATCAAGTTGTCTACTTCCGCATTAGCTGATTTGCATATAACGGGTGGTTTTTGGCACGGAATGCGATAGATATACGCAGTCAGAAGTGGACTAAGTTAACTCGCTACAGTTGGATTAATTAATTACTATAAATATTTTATATTTGGGAAATGAACCTTGTACCCTCTCTCACATTTTCGGAAACAATATGGGTGATTTCTACCATGCGTTTCAGTCAGTTCATTCCTGACTTCTTTCACCTTAGGTTTTAATAGGGATTTGGTATTTAATAATGTGACAAAACCCCACCAAAAAAAAAAAAAAAAAAAAAACTCTTGCATTTCATCAACCTTCAGCCTTTGAGGTTTTTATTAAAATAATCAGGTGAAATTCTGGTAGTGGTGTCTTGACACCAGCCCACCCCTAAGCTAAATACTATGGTGAAACCCCTCTAATCTTTTACATCTCTTGAGATGGAGGTGGTTCTGAGAGGGGAGAGTGAAATAAAATTGATTGAATAAAGACAGCACTTGTGCACCATCAACTATTCTAGTGTGCTTGTTACCAGCTTGCTATCACAGACTATTCAAATCCAAATTCATGCATGTAAGAAATTAAACACTGATTGTAGAAATGTTATAAATTGAACTTAAAAACCAGACCCCCTCCTCAGTGCATCATTCCCTACTTTCAAGACCACAACAGGGGGTTTTCTAGAATAAAACTGCAAGAGGGAGTACTGCAATTTAGCGGCGCCACCAAGTGGGGGAGATATGGTTCTCCCTACCAGGGTGTGAAATTTTTGATAATTGGAATTAAAAATGCAGCATGCTATGGCTTTTTTGGGGCCAAAATTACTGTCAGACAGGTCACAGTTGAAGACTGTGGCCACATGTGATCCCTGGTCAATCAGAATTTTATGGTTGCCAGCGGATCTGCTCCCCAGGGTAAGGAGGCGCATGGCCATGGCATGAGGGCATTGCGCCCCTGTTCCCTTGTTTAAAACAATCCCTGCCACAATACTAAAGTGTAACTCCAGATATTGAAGCAGCACTCTGCGATTGTGCCACTTCAAAATGTATGTGTAATGGTGTGTTAAATGTCACAGTACAGTTCTATCATTTATTATGCTTGAAACATTTTCAAGTTCTGCATTTAGTATCTTGCCATCACCAGTATACCCCTAACATGACTAATTCAGTTGGAATCTTGAACTACAATGGAAGTACATAAATCAGTTTGAGTAATCTTGATGCCTGCTTGAGGAGAGGTATTAAACAATCATGTACATTGTATATAGCTGCCGAGAGTTCCTGAAGGCACACAATTAGTTCATCCTTTGTATTTATCATTGTTTTGTTTAGAAAATATTTATTTTATATTACCATATTCTGTAACTATAGTAAGATGTTTTTAAAGATTATTGATTTTCACCTGGTAATTATTATAACAAGTTGCACCATAAACAGCTATCTGTGTATCAGTTGGCATTATATTGGCTACACTGTCCATTACATAACACATTTTGGTATCATGCATTCTAACTACCATAAAGATATAGACTTATTTGGGGGGGGGAGCTCGTTACTGTGCACAAACATCACCGACTGACTGATATGCTTTCACCCATGTCTCTTAAAAACATTTCCTAATAAAATTACTATGGTTGAGCCAGCCTATTTTATCCCTGGATGGTGCACTAAAATGCAATGCGATGATGGTGATACAAATTGTGAAAATTTGGATTGAGAATATGCAAATATTTGTGAAGGTGTAGATGTAAGCTGTACTGTATTTCACACATATGGTGATGTAATTATGCGAATTGCAGTCAGTGTAATTTCTGAGCAAAAGTTGCACCAATAAAAGTTGGTTTCATCTGAAAATTCACCTTGAATCAGTTGCATTGATTACATTATGCATGAAATTAAAAGCAGTGTTTCTGAAAGTGCCAAGAAATGTTTGTACACAGATATGATCGTAACATTTAAAACATTTTTATTATACATGTACCAGTAATTTCAATTACAATGTTTGCTGGGTGCCAGTGTCGGGACAACTATTATAATACATTCTGATACGCAAAAGTCGACATGTGTCGAGTCGGATCTTGGCTAGTTGGATCTAAGCAGACAGATATGATAAATCTTAGCAAGTGCTGACTCTGTCAACTTTGACCGTTCCTGTACTGGTTTCCACCCAGGATAGAGTTGCTAATGAGAACGAGACTATTGTTTCTTCATTAGTGAAGCTAGCCATTCATCTGTGTTTCCAATAATTATACCAGTCATACCACAAATTGAAAAAAAAAATGGGTGGGATGCTAATAACTCTACCATAGCTAGAATTTATTGCCAAACTTGAAATAACTCAAATCATAGGAAAATTACATTCACAATCCTACATCATTTACTCCTGGGCTATGAGTTACGCATTGAGTGTGTTATTATTTTTTTATCATGGATTCTAAACATGTTAACAATTTGTAATTTAAATTTCTAAAATATTACCTACATGCCAAGTTTCTAGTTTACATGTACACAGTGTGAATCCAAATATTTACAGCCTGTCATAAAAGAAGGTGTAACTAGAAAATATTAATAGTAAAAAATGGTGTTTGTGAGTTGTACTTTCAGTTTGTAACTTGCCAATTGTGACTTACACACAACTCAAATTTTATTACGCAAGTTGTTTTTAATAAGATGTATACAGATCGAAAAAAAAAATGCACAAAATAAGAGTAAAGGCTGTTGATCAAGTGTTGATTAAATGCAACATTGCAAGGCAGACACATATTCATGCCATATTCATGTTTTGGACTTTATGACAGGGCTGTGCGACCATCTTCAGATCAAATGACAATTTAATGTACCGGGTATTTGTATTTATTTATTTGCCATAGATTACAGGTAGTACAAAGAACTAAAAACATATGACAAGAGAGAGAGAACATTGCGAAATAATAAATATTAAAAAAGAAAAGAAAAAAAAAATGAGCAACTGGTCCATGGCTGGGGTAACAGAAGATAGCAATCGTAATGCTAGACAAGTCTGTTCCCCTGTATACAATTATTTCAATGGGAAAAAAAAATACAAGGGGGTAGTATTCACCTAACACAATTGATTATTACAAAAATGCTACAAAGACTAGTTATAACAGTAAATAAATAATACATAGAACTAAACATAGAAATACAGAGTAAATAAATAAGGAAATAAATAATTAATCAAACTAAATCAATTAACCACCTAACCAATTAACCAACTAACTGATCAACTAACCAATTAACCAGTCAACCAATTATCCAATCAATCAACCAATTAACCATCCAACCAATCAATCAATGTGCTATCCTGGCATCCACGTGCATCAAACACACGCATTTTTGCACTCTGTGTCAGCACTCATACTTGCAATTTGCACATAAAAAAGGTCAGGAGAGACAACAGGAACATTCAATGTCTACCACTTTACAAGTGTATTACAAGGTCAAAAACTGACAAGTGTTACTACCAACAAGGTGGAAGTGCTACTAGCAAATAATCTTGCATAAAGTGTTACTCATTGTGTCTTCTAACAGGACAAGTTAGTTTCATTAGTAGTTACATCGAAAAATAATTTATGTAGATGAATGAAGCATCGTATAGATTTAGAGAGTACACTGAGACTATATGCTCTTGTCTGTCACAAAGACCTTTCCTAGCGTCCATACATACTCATTGAGTTTAGATTGAATATTTTTGGGCGTGGATATCTAGGCATTTTTACCGCCTGGCAACCATCACGGTGAAAACAAAGGCCCAAGCTCTCAGAAACCTGTACTTTGGGAAGGTTGTTGAGACTCCTCTGAACAGTGCATCAAGAATACCCCTACGTGTGCAGCATAAATACATTTGATTGCGCAAATTTACAAAATTAATAGTTTTGTTTGGCCGTTTTCTCCACTTCAGACGTTTTCACTGCCTCTTTGACCGACATTCTACAGCAGCTCGCACAGAGCCCATAGAAATACATGGTAGATTGGTCTTAGCAATGTGGAATGTCCTGTGACGTAGCTCCACTCCTGAAAATAACCATCCTTCTTGGTTTGCATTTCAGAAGAAGAGTCCCGCTATATTTGAAGCAGCAGAAGTAGTTCCAGTTATGACAAATAATTACGAAGATAGTATACTTCAGGGAGTTAGAGTAAGTATCTCAATGTGAGAAAAACTAGCACTGAATTTCCTGTCATACATGTATGTATGTGATCGTTAAGTCATTGTTACAATTAATTTTTTGAATTCTGAGGTGTAAGGTATTCACTCGGGCTAATGTAACCACTGTGCCAACAATAGAGTTCTCATCAGTTCTTCAGGAAGATTTAGGCATTTGCTGTATTGGAAATGAACCTCTAATAACACAATAAACCAAATTCCATTAATTGTATGTATGATATTATTTATTTTTACCATGGGCATTTAGGTACAATTCAAGCGTAACTTAAATGCCAAGCTGGCTTCTGAGCTGGCATAGCATTTAATGAAAACATACAAAGCATTGTTGTCAGTAGTTTCAACTTATTCTTTGTAGTATTTACATGTGATACTAGTGTGAGATATATTTAGGTAAATTGCTTGGTAAAATTTAGAAGCATGGTGGTTGTGATGTAGTCTTTGTCTTTGTAGGATGAAGCGTATTCTCTAGAGAGTTCAAAAGAGCTATTACAAAGGGATGTGGTACAGTTACATGCACCCAGATATCAATCCATGAGACGGGTAAGAACCATAAAAGTATCTTGTGTATGTTTCACTTGTATGTCATCGAGCTATATAATTGTATTATTTGATGTTCTCAGTCTTTCCATATATAATACACTACTTTCTATCGTCAGTAAACACCCCTACAAGAAACTGGCACCCTTTTAAAGTATACATTTCCACAAGTAATAATTTCATTTAATCTGAAATTTCTTAGAGACAGATGTACAATTTTGTTTTCTTTGGGGGGGGGGGGGGGGGGGCTGAATTTAAGCTACAGACTTTGATTTCTAAATCAACATGCGTCAACATTAATAAATTATGTTAATCCCTTTATATTACCCATGGCATCAAATCAACAACAAAAAGTTGAGTTAAATGCATGAAAATGATGCACTAAAATTGTTATAGAAAAATGATAGCATTCAGTAGGTTCGTTAAGTTGTATACAATGCAAAGAGACAATGAGTGGGTTCCATGCAACATGTACAACCTGTAGATGTCAACAAATCACCTAAAGAATTCAATGTGTTGTGTATGTACTAATACCGATGTCTTGTCTGTAGGATGTTATGGGGTTTACAAAAGAAATGGATTTCTTTTTATGGCCTAGAAATGATTTAGAAAAGATGGAGTGTCGTTTATTCTCCAAGTGGAAGGGAGAAGAGGATCCTTACAAACCGATGCTTGTGAGTTCTTATCACATTGCAATACTGTAAAATGATTTTCCCTGGGTTTAAATTTCGCAGATTTACCATTTCAGGCATATCCACTGGGTTTTAATTTAGCGCATTTTCCAGTCAGCGAAATAATCAAAATTAAAACCCAGTGAATAATTAACCCTTTTACAGTATACTAACATTCTGAAAAGATTTAGTTCTGCGTCGACTATGCTATGGACTATGCTACCCAGATATCACTTATTTGTAGAACTGGTTGATTCTCGTGACATCATGGGATGTGCTACCATTTCTGTCTACAACGTAGATAAAAAGATTATCACCTGATGTCACTTGTTCATACAGCTGGTTGATACTTGTGGTGTCATGGGTAGGGTTATCTGTTCACCTTCGGTTCATGGATAATACTGTTCTATCATGTCTCTCGTATCAACCATATCTTCGAACAATTGCTACTGAGTGATAACCTCATAATCTCAAATATTCCTGGAATAGTCTTTCTGACTTGACTTGAGTATTTTGTTGCAGAATAAAATGTAAAAATGATATACTGGTTCAAGGCCTATGTAATGCATACCCCTGGTGGCTGATAACAAATAGCTATGACATAATGCAATATCCATATATGAACCGTGGAATTTTATAATACAACATAAGTCTATTCATCATATTTCTAAAAAAAACAGAACTCGTATTTATCTTTCTTGTTATTTCAGGCCGATTTCGAGTTTTTGACCCCAGACTATGAGAAACAGTTGATGAGACTGGTTAGTAGGAAAGATAAAGCTGGGCTTATCATAAACAATCCATCACAGTCCATGTTTTTATTTATTGATAGGAAATTTTCACAGGTAAGTAATGGGTAAAAATTTTTATTGTACATTTCCAAAAGAAGTGCATGCAAGCCAAGAGTTGCATTAATTGTATACTGTAAAATGACTAAGTTTCACTGGGTTTAAATTTCGCTGATTTACCATTTCAGGCATATTCAGTAGGTTTTAAATTCATGGTTTTATCATTTAGATAATGTGTTCTATGCTAAATTTTACATATTCACTGGGTTTTAACTTGTCGCATTTTCCAGTCGGCAAAATAAGCAAAATTAAAACCCAGTGAATAATTAATCCCTTTACAGTGCTGGATTTCAAAAATAAGACATATGACAAGATATACATCTCTGCATATGGTACTAATATGGTCTGTGTAGTTCATACTGTTAACAGGACGCTTACTGTGCTTAATCTGATGCATTTTGCTTTGCTAGTTGACAATATACACTTGGTTTTACATTGCCAGCTGAAGGGACCCTTTGTAAGTCCCTGTTCGGACGAAGTCCGAAAACGGGGACTTATAATTCGGTCTCCGTCCGTCTGTGTGTCCGTGCGCTCGTCCGGGGTCGTATCTCAGAATCCTGTGGACCGATTCCATTCATTCTTTGCATGTGCCTAGTACTTTATGTAGGACATGTGCACATGCAGTGGTTTAGCGATTTGATTCAAAATGGCCGACTGGCAGCCATCTTGTTTTTTTGAAAATGTTGTATTCTGGACATGCTGTGTCAGTTTTCATTCAAACTTGGTACATAGATTAAACATGTTAGGATACATGTTCATGACGATTTATTTCACAATTGGATCAAAGATGGTCGACTGACAGCCATCTTGTTTTTTGAAAATGCCTTATTTTGAACATGCTTTGTCAGTTTTCATTCAAATTCAGTACATAGATCATACATTTTAGAATACATGTCCCCGACCGTCCGTGAGTTCGTGTGTCC